TAGCGCACTCAGAGTTGTGGCCACTGACGTACTTGTTTGTGCTAAAAGCGCGCTCAGAGCCGAGGCCACTGAGGGCGTCGATTTGTGTAGATTTAGTATGTGAAATCAACACTAAGGTGTTATTTTGGCGACCAATCAACGTGTTTATACAGTAGGAGTATTGGATTGTTTACCAGATAGACGTGGGGCACTTAATTTGAACAAAGTGAATAAGTATAAACAAGTTATGGATATATTCTCTGATAGATAAAATCACTAGCTGATTTTCTGCGATAGGTAAAGTTGATTATCTTTTCTGGTCGCAGTTTAATTACGGGGATATCCTTCCATTGACTATTGAATTTGGTTGGAATACAAACGTTCATAATTAAATTTAGAACATAAGTAGTTAAATATTAAATACTTAGTAGAACCTGTCTGAGATTAATTATTACGGTGCGCGTGAGAATAATAACCTCAAAATAAAATGTATTATTAGCATTAAGCCCAGATACATAATGCATTCATAATGAATTTAATTTTTAATTATCTCAACAAGAATTTTGTACAAGACTAAAGTAATGTAAATTATGCCCCAAAAGTTTTTTTTGTTACACAATGAAGAAAACATTTCTTCCTCGTTGAAGATTACGGTATCTTAGTGATGATTTGAATTTGAGATACCTTATTATCTTAGGATTTCTGTGTCCGTACTGTATTTCATTTCTTTTTTCTGCCTTCACACATGAATTATTTCTTTTTGCCTTCTGATACTAGATGGCGGTGTGCATCATTTACTTTTGAATTAAAAAATATTTTTATTGTGTATTTACTTTAATTGTTTTTATCAAAATTTTAAAACGTTCAAACAAGTTTTTTATTCTAAGGTACTTTTGTATTTAAAATTAAAAAATAAAAACTTATTGCTTTGAGTAACTTAAATGACATTTACGAAAAGCGCCATCTATTATATACAAATTAAACTAAGTAAAGATGAGAAATTGGTTCTTTTTACTACTTACCACTAGATGTCGTTATAACAAATTATACTAATTCGAAAGCAAACATTACTTGATTCAAAAATCTCGAAAGAAGAAAAGGATACACCTAATTTTTCTTTCATTAATTATTTCTGTACTTTGTCAAAGCAACATTATAGTTGAACTACAACAAAAACTAGTGAACTAAAAAGTTGAATATTTCAAGAATTTTACAATTATAACGTTTTTTACATGGTACGGAGCTCAGAATTAACAGTGTTGTAAGTAAAAAAAATTGTGAATTCTGCTCCACCTTGCCATCGTCAGGGGGAAGAATCGAAAATGTTAAATTTATACAAAAATGAAAATATACTTGGAATACGACACTGGCCTAGCAAAAGCATCAGTCGGCGATAATTATTGCAAAACATTAAGATATAAAAAGCCGCTGTATAATAATACGCAATTTAATATCATAATATTCGTAATGGTGAACAATAAGACATAACTGGAGATTTCTCAAGAAAGCGCGTTAAATCACAGCCAGACGGCGACCAGGCTTAGCTTATTGGATGAAGCGATATTAGACTTGCGATTTTCCACCGTACTACGACAATAGACAGCGCACATACCGCATAAGCGTAGCGGAAAATTATTTATTCATTACATTTTTTTAAATACAGTATTCTTTAGACCGTACGTGTTAAATGTTTAATATCGTTTTGATTTGTAGATAATAACTCTAAATTGCAATTATTAATATTCACAGAATTACCAAGAGTTTTAGCAGGATTTACTTATTTGTTGCTTTAGTTTATTTGAAGGGGATGTCTAAAAAAAACGTAAATAATAGGATGTCTACTTTATTAGTTGAATAAGGTAATAATTAATCTTTTTTAAAAAATGTATACCAATTTATTGTACTTTACCGCTGCCGCTTATTTAAATCTGAATGTACGAGATGCAGTCAAAAGGGAAAGTGCATCAGGAAGGCCTTTCATTACCGTTCAGCTAATAAGGTATTGGTAAGTAAATTGCGTTAATTGCAAAACATACAAGAATATACCTTTTACGCAATATATTCAACACACACATTTATTTAGCACATTTATAAATACAAAACACAGTTGTGTTTCAAACAATAAACGATCTACTGAAAACGCAGTTGAAATAATTGCTAAAAATCTAGCATCAATTTGTGACGCTCACTTTCTTCGTACTAAAAGTAAATAAACTTTATATAACAATCTGTGAACACTCACCCATCCATTTCATTGGGCCCTTTGGAGTTTCTTGAAGCAAGCAATTCTTCAGCTCGGTCTATCAGTTGCATAATATTATTGATTTGTCTCACTTTCAATTCAACGCCATTCTCTATACATCCGATATTGTTCATTTACGTATACTTTAATTCCATTTTCAAGCATTACAATTATCTTCGATTATTAAATTGACGTTTAAAATAGTTACTACATCATTGATTTTAAAGGTTGCAGTTATGTGTATGTTAAATTGTTACGTGTTTGGTAACAATTGTTTCCTCTGCTATGATTTAATCTACATTTTCGTATTTAGATTTTTTATTATTTCATTTGTCATTTCATCTTCTACTGTTTAATCTGTAAATGTCAATTTAATTGCATGTCATTTGTTCTCTAATTTTCAATTTTCATTCTTCAATTGTTTTTAAGGTTTGCGAAAGTTTGCTTTGTAATAATGGGTCTTCCTTCTCAATTACTTATACCTCGATTTCTTTACGGTGTCATCCTCAAATTGCTGTAATAAAAGAATCATCATTATTTGCATTATCTTATAAGTTGTCAGTTGTTGGCACGTCATTATAAACGACATCGTGACTTCCTATCATTCAAACATTATCACGAAAGATTTCTCGAAGTTAAATGACATGGGATATGAAGTCAATAGACATTTAATTTCCAACCATTTCTATTTGATTGAATATTAAATAACTACTGATCGGAACCATTTAACAGTGGTAGTGCCCGTTTTAAAATTTTAGCAGGAATGGGCCGGCACGCCCGGTGTAATACCACGACCACACAGAAGACAGGCGTGAAATGGAAGCAATTCCGTCTGATGAGTGTGGTTGCGGGGGCCTAATTTAAGTCCCTTTCTCTTTAGCACCCTTTTCTTATAAGGAGAGGATGGGAACGGGAAGTGGATTTGACGGTAGAGGAGATGCATAGGAAGGGGAAATATCCTCTTTATGTATGTGCGTCTCTTCCTCCGTCCGATAATGGTAGGCAACGCAACTGTAATTGCTGATTTCTATGGGCAGCGGTCGCTTCGCCATTTTGGCGGATTCAGGTGTCCGCTTGCTCGTTTGCCACCTTATGTTATATAAAAAAAAACATGTTGAAACCAACTTATTTGTGATAATTTGAACTGACGTAACATTGATCAAAATTCTTAAAGATATACCAATTTCTATAGTTGAAATTGTCACATTTACTCGAAAATTAAATAGAAATCATTTATGTAATAAGATAGAAATAGTGCTAAATATATTATCTTCAAACACATGGTTATGTATTTTTTCTTTCTATGTTTAATTTAACAAATGCTTTCAATATTCTTTCAAATATGAGTAATCTTACAGAATAAATAATTAAAAAACACATGTCATGTAACGTAAAGCTCCACATATTTCAAGACATTTTTTAGTTTCACTTAAATTCCTTTCACAATCCAAGTATCAAGTTATCTCAACTTAAAATCAACAGGTAAACGAGACATATTTGGAAAGGAGACGAAAAAAAAACGAAATGAATTCACGTCTTGTATGTTTTTTTAAATATATCCGAGTCGTGGGAAGATTTTTTTTTTTACTTAAATAAAACAATGTAGAAAAAAGTAGAAACGTAGTTTAAGGTAAAATGCTTTAATTTGTGAGTAGTTGTTTAAAATAATCGGCATTGTTAGAATCTCTCATCGTTATACAGTTTAAATATTTTTTTTTGTATATACTATAAGGCGGCAAACGAGCAAGCTTAACCCGCTGAAATGGCGAAGCGACCGCTGCCCATAGACATCCGCAATAGGGAATATGCATGTATTTTTTTTTCTTTTTTTAAACGATTCTACTTGTTATAAAATAACCACAAAAAAAAATTGAGTCGAAAATATTCAACCATTGAGCTAAAAATAATAAAATAAAATTACGACCATTTTCGAGCGACTAAAACGCCACCAAACTGACAAATACTTCAAGTGTGTATTTCTATATAAACTAACGTAAATGAACTGTGTATTGTCAACACAACGACGCCATATTAGATAAGCCACTTGCTTCGACCAATAGTGTGCGTTTTAGAACTTAGCGAGGGAATTTGAAAAAAGACACTTTTTAATGATTAAATTTTGCCACTAAATCACATTATATTTAAAATAATCTTTGCAGGACTGTTTTTATAGTAATAAAGTATACTTAAAAAAAGTTTAGTACAATTTGGCGTCATATGCATATTACCTATTACAGGTGCGTTGCCTACCCTTAATCGACGGTGGAGACGCAGAGACGGAGAGAGAGGAGTAATTGTCTCTTAATTGGAAAAG